GTCAGGCCATATGCCTGGGTTGGGGGCTCAATCCCCAGTGGGGGACATGCAGGAAGCAGCCGATCAATGATTCTCTCTCATCATTGATGTTTCTATTTCTCTCTCCCTCTCCCTTCCTCTCTAAAATCGATAAAAATATGTTTTTAAAAAAGTATGAAATAATGATTTCAATACTAATGTGCTAGTGACCTGCTAAAATAATATTAAAATTTCTCTTAATGTCCACATTTTATGTTTATTTATTTATTTGTTATTATTAGGGTGACACTGGTCAACATGATCATATAGGTTTCAGGTGTGGGTTTCTATGTTACAAGAAAAGGTGTGGGTCTCTTTTGCACCATGTGCCCACCACCCAAAGTCAAATCTTTGTCACCATATATTAGGACCCCTACAGGATTGTACAGCTTAAATTCCCCCCTCCCCAATTTTGGTTGTAGCAGTTATTACCAAGGAAACTCCATATATACTTTGCTGGGTAAGAGCAAACTCCTCCCACCAGGATCCTTATCTGCTTACAGTTGGAGCCCCAAAAGGGAGCATTTGTTCAGAGGGCATATTAGTGTTGGCATCTTTGCCAGTACTTAGAGCTCTGACATTCTCTTCTTAATAGCCGCATAATATTTCATATCAGCTCTCCTGTTGATTTATATTTGTAACTAGAGGCCCAGTACACAAAATCGTGCACTGGGGGGGTGGGGGGGTTGGTGGTCCCTCAGCCTGGCCTGCGCCCTCTCGCAGTCTGGGAGCCCTCGGGGAATGTCCGACTGATGGTCGGACATCCTTAGCACTGCTGCAGAGGCAAGAGAGGCTCCCGCCACCGCCACTGTGCTCACCAGCCGTGAGCCTGGCTCAGGGCTTCTGGCTGAGCAGAGCTCCCCCTGTGGGAGTGCACTGATCACCAGGGGGCAGCTCCTGCATTGAGCGTCTGCCCCCTGGTGGTCAGTGTGCATCATAGTGACCGGTCGTTCCTCCGTTCAGTCGATTTGCATATTAGCCTTTTGTTATATAGGATTTTTTGTTATATAAACATTTGGCAATAACTAACCTTAAACATTCATTCTTATCTATTCAAAAATATCTTGTGTTTAAAAGCCTCGCTATTTCCTCATCATCTAACTTGTAATAAATTTTAGCCATAGACTCTAGAGAAATAGATGGAATCTGTACCCTAAAGTGAGAACACTACCTTGGGAGAGACGAAGGTGCGAACAGTGGTCCCGGTGCTCAGAGAGCTCATCATCTCTGGGCTCTTCCAGAGGAGTGTTTGATTTTTTGTTATGGTAACATTTAGCAATGGCTTGACTCCATTCCCCCCGCCCCCCCTTCAATTTGTATGAGGTCCCCACCTAAGCACCTTTACCCAGGAATTGTTTCAAGTACAAAAACTGGGTTTTAACTATTTGGTCAAGTGAAATTAAAGCCCAGTAATGAATGAGGCGTTGTTGTCTAATTAGCATGTGACATAGGTTATACTAGTACATTTTATCCAGGATAGTTAATAAGGCTTATAGTGACCAGCTGTTAAAAGGAAATAATTAAAAATATATTTTTTTACTTTCTAGACTTCTGTAAATTAAATTATCTATTTAAACGGGAAATGGTAGACAGCTGACTACTTAGGGAATTTAAATTTGTCAAGGGCTCGTCATTATGTGCATCACTTATGAAACGGGCCTCTAGGGAAGCTGTTGGCATGGGGGAGGGGGACTGTCAACTTTGAAAAATGTCGTCTCCTTATCCTACAGCGTAAGAAGCAAAAGCAGTTGGTACTTAATGATTTTTAAACTTAGATGTTAGTCTTCATGGTTATGTATTAACCTTTATCAATGGGAATTAAAATTTATTAGCAAGGGATTTTATTATGTTTATTAATTGTTAATGTGCCATTACAGAGGCGTTTGAGGGAGAAAAACAAATTTAAAAACACACACAAAGACTCCTCCATGTCTTAAGATATAAAGAAGAGGAGAAACGTTGGTGTGTAAATTTCACCCATGTTTATGTGCTAACTAATCTTCCAGTGAGGGAATGTCTTTGTGAAGGTGTTAGAGGTGATGATGAGAGTATGAGGGATAAGGAGTAACCTGTGTTCCCTTTAAGGCTGCTGGTGCATGTGATACTAAGTGTTGCAGGATGCAAACGTCAGGAAAATCAGAGCAGTAGAATAAAACTAAATGTGACAAAATGAACTCACTGTTCAAGGTCCCTTTGATTGATGGGTTTTGAGAACATTGGTGGTGAGGGTAAGGAGTTGGGGATGGAGTGGAATCCCAAATGGCTGGCCTGAGTCACTCATTAGCTGTTGGTCTAAACCCCTGACAGCAGTTGTATGGTATCTTGGTAAATAAAGCGGGATGCTGAAGTAGCATTGGTGGATGTCTGTTCATCACAGACCAATGTCACACACTTGCTTTTTAATTAGTAAAACCTCCAAGGTCTTATCTTGTCCCTTTATGCCGGGGTCCAACCCCAGCAGGTCCAGGGGTCCCTGAAGGTGTGGATGGAGTCGGCGAAGAAGGAATGACACGGAGACAACATTCAGTTGATCAGCAGCCTAGCCAGGATCTCTAGCCAGGACCTCCAGCCAAGTTCTGGTCTGGATCTCCAGCGAAGTTCTGCTGTTTATTGTCTTGTTACATCCGTATTTATACCAGTTGATTTTAATCCTGTCAATTTCTATTACAAAAGTTAGGGTGTTTCTTATCTCCATTCCAGGGAGTAAAGATTATGTAGCTTAAGCATGATTGTTTGTAGTGATTAACTACCCGCCTGGCACTTAGTTAAGGAGTTTTATCCCCTCCCTGACTTCAGGGAAAAATTCCTACCTGGGGAAGCAACCTTTCTAGGAGGGGCATCCCCTCCCTGACTTCAGGGAAAAATTCCTACCTGGGGAAACAACCTTTCTCGGAGAGGTGACCTTGGTTAAAACACACAGCGCTAAGGGGAGCAAACATATTAAGAACAGTATGCTATATACGCCAGGTCCTTTGAAACATATGCTGTGCAGATGTTTCTTTCCTGCAGCGACTGTGTCAAGCAGCAAGGATGGACCGGCTTCCGGCACCTTTAGGTGTTATAGCTTTCTGTTAGAATGAAATCTGCACTGGGGGAAAGACTCGAATTAACACTAGAGTACTAATTATGATCGGCAACTTATTATTGGTAGTAAGGAGAGAGAGAGAGAGAGAGAGAGAGAGAGAGAGAGAGAGAGAGAGAGAGAGAGAGAGAGAGAGAAACAGAAGAGGAGGGAAGAGAAGAGAAGAGAAGAGAAGAGAAGAGAAGAGAAGAAAAGAGAAGAGAAACATCGGTGTGTGAGTGAACATTAATCAGTTGCCTTCCGCAGGTGCCCCCACCAGGGATCCCCTGCAACCTAGGTATGTGCCCCGACTGGGAATGGAACCTGAGACCTTTCGGTGTATGGGTGATGCTCCAACCAACTGAGCCACACGGGCCAGGGCTATTATTGGTAACTTTAAATATTTTACTTTTGTTAAAGCTGTGAACACATGGAATTGTAGCTACCTTTCCATGAATATGTTAATTGCACAAGTCATCTTTTGTCCAGTGACGCCAAGTCAGCAAGTAAACTAGATCATGATGCCTGTTAGGCTCTCATAAACATTTGCTAGATGGAATTCTGATATCCCTGGTTGTCATATTTTCATTCTTTAGCAGTAAGATTCATTAAAAAACATTTTCATATAACAGAGTAATATGTAACCAAGTCTGATAAATTTAAGGCTTTTTTTTCTGGTTAAACAAAAACAAATTATGTGACTTTAACGCGATACAAGACTATGTGACTTAGTGATACAGGGTGAGCCTCACATGGTCCTATCAAAAAATCCAAGAGGCGATAATACTTGAGTAGAGTCATATGAGAAAAGATAGACTGTCAAGGTTATGGTTTGTAATTTACATAATCATGATTTATTTTCCTAATGTTTAGTTCACACAGTCTTAGGAATCCTAAAACTAGAGGTGTCGCGACTTAGAGAAGGTAGTTTTAGGACTAAGTAAAAGGTAAATAAATTCACTGTCAACTATGCTGTTTGACATAGCTGACAGTGAATTTATAGAACTTGTTACTTTGAGGTAGTACAGCTAAAAATATAAGCACACTAAAATGGTTTCAACAGATACACCGACGGTGGTTTCAAAATGTATTGCATAAAGTTTAAGGGAAATCTTCAGTATATTGAGTTCAGCTGCGTTCTCATGAAACAATTGGTTTTGGTGGCGTAAACCTTGAACATTTGTAGCACTTGCATCTTGATGTAATTATTATTAGCCAGCTGCTTTTCTGAGTGGAGTGGGGCCATTCCTGTGAGGGAAGGTGTTAAATACATGTTTGTTGAGTGGAAGAGTGGGCCACATGATGACCTGGATTGACTGTAGGTCAGGAGAATGCTCATTTTTTTTGTATTTTAGGCCTATAGATAAAAATAACAGGAATAACGCAAGAAAAAAAACTTTCTGAAAGTTTCCCAAAATGTTGACCGGAAAAAAAGCTAGATCTATTCATTTAAAGCTTCCAGTGTAGCCCAGCTGCTGTGGCTCAGTGGTTGAGTGTTGACCTATGAACCAGGAGGTCACAGTTTCAATTCCCTGTCAGGGCACTTGTCTGAGTTGTGGGCACATCCCCAGTAAGGGGCGTGTAGGAGGCAGCCAATCAGTGATTCTCATCATTGATGTTTCTATTGCTCTATCCCTTTCCCTTCTTCTCTCTCTAAAAATATAATCAATAAAAACATATATTTTTTTAAAAAAAACTTATGTGATTTGAATTCATTTGGTGCCACAACCTCACCTGATCTAATAGGACACTTGCTGGCCGATTTTCCCCCACCTCGTATGAATGTGCTTACGTTTTTGCTACAGGAGCACTCCTTCCTGATTATGTGACATCCTTTCCCAGGGTCTAGTGGGGTATTATGTGATATATAATGAATACACTTTTTTAAAATCTGAAAACTTCCAAATTCTGAAACGGATCTGGCCCTAGGGCATAGGGTAATGGGTTGTGGACCTGAGAGAGTGTGTGCTTACACATCTGCGTTTCCTCTTAGACTGCCACGTGCTGGAGAGCTGGGACTGCCTTATTCACGCGTAGCCCCGATTCTTGGCACATAACAGAAATTCAGTCAACATTTGGTGAAAGAATGAACTACGTTAGAAAATAGCAGTTAGGCGAAGGGAAACAGACCTGACCCTGGGAGCAGCACCTTATTTGTTTCCCGAAACACAGACAACACAGGTTGCCTTCGGTTTACAAGACGCTGAATTGGTTTACTTCTGGGACATTTAAAAATATTCAGTGTAGGCTCCCTCGAGTAACTTGGCTCCGGGGGTTCCGCTCGCCTGCCCGCAAGCTGCCCGCAGCTCAGCCCCACGCCCGCTGGCCTCCGCCGCAGCCGACCCCTCCCAACAGCCCTCGCTGCGCAGGCCGGGACGCCTCTCCCCCCTCTGCCCCCGCCGCGGAAAGTTAAGTTTGAAGAGGGGGGAAGAGGGAAACATGGACATGAAGAAGAGGGTGCACCTGGAACTGAGGAACCGGACCCCGGCCGCTGTTCGAGAACTTGTCCTGGACAATTGCAAATCAGATGATGGGAAAATTGAGGACTTAACAGATGAATTTGTGAACTTAGAGTTCCTCAGTTTAGTAAATGTAGGCTTGATTTCAGTTTCAAATCTCCCCAAACGACCAAAATGGAAAAAGCTGGAGCTCAGTGACAATAGAATCTCTGGATGTCTGGACATGTTGGCAGAAAAACTTCCAAATCTCACACATCTAAATTCAAGTGGAAATAAACTGAAAGATATCAGTACCTGGGAACCTTTGAAAAAGTTGGAATGTCTGAAAAGCCTGGATCTTTTGAACTGTGAGGTTACTAACCTGAATGACTACCGAGAGAGTGTCTTCAAGCTCTTGCCCCAGCTGACTTACCTGGATGGCTATGACCGAGAGGATCGAGAAGCTCCTGACTCAGATGCTGAGGTGGACGGTGTGGATGAAGAAGAGGATGATGAAGAAGGAGAAGATGAGGAGGACGAGGAGGATGAGGATGGTGAGGAAGAAGAATTTGATGATGAAGAGGATGAAGACGAAGATGTAGAAGGAGAAGAGGATGAAGATGAAGTCAGTGGGGAGGAGGAAGAATTTGGAGATGATGGAGAAGTTGATGAAGATGAAGACAATGAGGATGAGGATGAGGATGAAGAGGAGGAAGAATGCGGGAAAGGTGAAAAGAGGAAGAGAGAAATAGATGATGAAGGAGAAGATGATTAAGAACCCAAATCTGCAAAAAAAAGAACTGTTCAGTATTGGTTGGAATGCTCATCATATGGATTTGGTAGCTGTTTTTTTTTTTAAAAAAAAGGTAACTGTGATACAAACCCCAGGACACCCACCCACCCAAAGAGCCAAAGAATAGTTCCTGTGACATTCCGCCTTCCTCCATTTAGTCCCTTTTGGAAATTCACCACCAAGCTTGGGGACTGCACCCCAACAGAACTGTAAGCGTTGCTAGGTTTTCCTATAAGACTCTTGCTGTAGCGTGGATAGCTGTGATTGGTGAGGCAACCAGCTGTGGCTACCAGTTACACCAAGACTGTAACAGCATTTTTACTTTCTGTACAACAAAGAAGCTTTGTGAATAAAATCTTAACATTTAAAAAAATATATATTCAGTGTAGCCCTAGCCGGTTTGGCTCAGTGGATAGAGCATTGGACTGCAGGCCAAAGGGTCCCCGATTCAATTCTGGTCAAGAGCACGCACCTCGGTTGCAGGCTCCTCCCCAGCCCGGGCGCTGGTTGGGACGTTTCTTTCACATCGATATTTCTCTCTCTGTTTCCCTCTCTCTTCCACTCTCTCTAAAAATCAATGGAAAAATACTCTTGGATGAGGATTAAAAAATAATAAAATAAAAATCCCACACCCAACCCAAGGAAAAAAAAATTCAGTGTAATGAGAAATTTGATAGCAAAATGAAAAACCAAAACTTAATGCCTATGCTACAGTTTAAGCATCTCTAACTTCTATTTTTCTCTCTTATCCGTTCACCCATGCCACTCTTAAGTTTTTTGCTGACTTCTTGAGAGAGAAAGCCACATGGGTATATCCGTATACAGAATACTTGGGATGAGTAGGCAAGAGTGTATTTAAATTCCTTGTTAGGAATGATCATAAAAGCTTTTTAAATATCCTACCTAACTCATTATGGGGTTAGGGTTTTTTTGAATTTTACAAAGTGTAGAAATTATATTTTCATTTTATATGCTTTCATGATCAGAATGAAAATTATTAGTAGCTAAGCTACTTGTATTTCTGTCTCGTATGATTAAAATAGCTATTCACTAACACAGCAGTATAATTGTACAAGCTACATAATGCCTTGCTTTATTAAAAATTCTGTGGACATTTGAAGAAGTGGAGGGAGAAGGCAGTTTGAATTATGCAACTGTATTTCCCATTTTGTTTAATAAATTGGCTTGGACACAGTGGCTCATTGGTACTTTTGATATTTGTAACTGGTACAGCTGGCTTTTAAAAGATAACTGATATGCTGCTTTCTGCTCCACTTACATGCTCTCACTGTATGATAGTTACCTAAACTGTGTTAAATGAATCAAATATTCATGTCAAAAAAGAACTTGGTCAAGAAGTTACAGTAGTTGAAAGAGCATTTTAAACTAGTTTAAAAGTTGTTTTACTCAGCAATTTCAATACCACTTCAGAGTTGAAGTGAATAAAGATGGATACCTGAAAAAAGTTCTTATGGGAATTTGGGTTCTAATCATGCCCTGAGCAGATATAAACTGAGCCTTTTGCTCAGAGAAGCAGAGGAAGTAATTCTGTAGAAAGAGGAAAAACAAAGATCTGAAGAGAAAAGCAGGACAGTTAGAAAACGAATGCTACCAGTTTTAGCCTCTGGTCTCTTCCTGAGGTGGTAAGAGTCATGCCTTTTGGTTCTGTGATTCATCCTAAATCTTTAGAACAAAGTTCCCTTTATTTCTTAAGCGATTTCAGGTTAGCTTATTTACTGAAGAAGAAAGTGTCCAAGTCCCTGCATTAAGGAGCTTATATTCTGCTAGAAGGAAACAAGACAACAAATAAGCAGATACATGCTAAATGGTGTTGAGTCTTTGGTGACCTGATTGAGAGAGAGTGAGGAGGCTAGATGGGTGCATAAGTGCTATCAGGGAAGGTCCCCGAGAGGTAGCATGGAAGCAGAAGTAAAGGACCTGGGGCGGGGGGAGGGGGGAGTGTAAGAGCATTTCAGGCAGAGGGAAGAGCAAGAGTAAGGACTGGGAGGCCAGAGCTACTTGGTGTGTTCCAGGAACATGAAGAAAGCTTCTGAGGGGCTGGATCCGAGTGAGAGAGAGACAGATGAGGTCAGAGGGGTGTGTGTAAGAGTTGAGTAGGACTCTAAATCAAAATAAAGAGTAAGTCTCTCCTCCGAGTGGAGCGGAAAACTGCAGTAGGAATTAAAGCGGAAGAGTGATTTGTGCTTTGAAAGGATCACTAATTGCTATATTTAGAATATAGATTGGAGCGTGGTTGAAAGCAATAGAAAGGAGACCCGGTGAGAGATGATGATGGCTTGGACCAAGGCGCTCAAAGTGGACATAACCAGGGTTGGTCAAATCCTGGAATCTTTTTTGAAGGACTGTTTGGCATGCGTTGCTGATGGTTTCCGTGTAGGGTGTGAAGGGAACAGAAGTTAAGGATGACTCCCATGTCTTTGGCTTAAACGATTGGAAGGATGGGATTACCGTTTACCGAGATAGGGAAGACCTGGGGTAGGGTGGGGTTAGTTTTGAAGCAGTAAGTTGGAGGTGTTTATTAGACATTTAAGTGGGTATGTCTGTGTGTGCCCTGTTGGGAAGTGCTTCTCACAAGACTCCATTCTAGTACGAATTCTCTCTAGTTTAGTCTTGAAAACTACAATTCAAGATTTCGCTTCCATCCTCTAGTCCAGTGATGGCGAACCTATGACCTCTGACACGAACTCATTTTTTTGGTTGATTTTTCTTTGTTAAATGGCATTTAAATATATAAAATAAATATCAAAAATATAAGCCTTTGTTTTACTATGGTTGCAGATATCAAAAAATTTCTATGTGTGACATGGCACCAGAGTTAAGTTAGGGTTTTTCAAAATGCTGACACGCCGAGCTCAAAAGGTTCATCATCACTGCTCTAGTCACATTCCGCCATAATACCCTTTATAAATAATCTCGGTCTATATGTACTTAGCAATTTTACATTCTAGTAATAATTGACTATCTCATTGGCATTTCAGAAGGAACAAAAAGAAACTATATGTCAATATTTTCAAAGTAGATTAACCTGTAAATGGAGAACTGAATTCGTCTCTTTCTATTTTTTATAGTTGTTTTGTGTTGTTAATTTTGAAGTAAAAATTTTCCAAAAATGAGTGAACTGGAACAGTTGAGGCAGGAAGCCGAACAACTACGGAATCAGATCCAGGTAAGAGCAATCCTTTTCATTTTCTCAAAAACATTTTTAACATTTTTATCTCATACCAGTAATGAATGAACTAGATTTGTTCATTAGGTCATCAGTCTACAGATGTTAAATAATTTATGAGACAAGAAATGGTCAATTTGTTTTATCATATATTTAAAGAACTCTCCAGAAATCATTCCTAACAAATACGTATGTTGGACTAATGGCCTCTGTGTCCCAAAGAAGTGAATATCATATATGTAATCCCTCCTGAAAGACAAGCATACTTCTCTTCTTAGTCACACACCTGGAGTCATAGTTTGATTTTTTTTGGTGCAATACGACGAGGCAGATTATCACATTGTAATATACTAAAAATTATTCACCTGTAAAACATTACATTGCAAAAAACATTAAAAGGTATTAGTGGCATAATAAAGACGTGTCATCTTTTACTCTTGCAAATCAACTGAAAACAGTAAAGAGCATAAGAAACAAATACAAGCTCCATCTTTAACACAATTGAAAGACACTTGGAACTTCATAATAGGATGGGGAAAGTTGTCAAATATAGCGATGCTTTGGGGGGAAGGCTCTGAGAGGGGTTTCTGCAGCTGTGAATCTCATACAGAGTAGGTGGCACTCCCTCAGGGACAACTCCAATAATCCTTTTTTGGAGCAATGGGAACAGATGCTTCTCTGGACTGAGGAATATCAAGATAGGCAGAGAAAAAAAATGAAAGGGTACAGACTTGCCATCTTTTAGGAAGCCTCTTGTTGACAGAGTGGAGGAGAGAGACTTGTGGGTAGCCTGGCGTTGCTTACTTCTTTTCACAGGGAAAAAGTAAGGGCTGAAACAACTTACAAATCTAAATGGAGGCCTTTGGCATGAAGCAGGGAGAATCTCTAATAACTTGGACTACCGCCGTGGCCCTCTCCAATATGAGCTTTTGCAATAGGTATTTTGGAAGAACTCATCTCATTTAAAAGTGAAGAGTAAGAAAAAAAGGAACAAGCACAGGCTCTCTACAAAGATATCACAAGAAAGGAGGGACAGGAGCAGGAGCAGGGAGAACAAGGACTGGGCCAAGAACACTCACTGGGGAAAGGTTGATTGAAATAACCAGTGGATTGAAATCATAACCAGTCTTATTGCCGGGAATGCAAAGAAGTTAAAGATCTAGATGTGAGTAAGAACTTGGAGTTGATACCTTAGGTGTCTGAACAAAGCTGACAAAACAAAGAGGGATTTATTTTGCCTGGAATGATCAGGGAAGGCTCCATGGGCTAACCTCTGAGTTAGATGTTGTTGCCACCACCAGAAAGGATTCCCTCTCTCTCTACTTTTTGTGACTTGCTCCATATGCTGAGCAAGATCTACTGATTAGCCAAGCACATGGTCACATGCCCATCTTATTTTTAGAAAATTTCTCTGTATTTATGAGTTTCTTTCTTTTCTTTTTGGAGATTTTACAAATAAGCGAGATCATAAGGTATTTATCTCTCTGACTTTTTCACTTAGCATAATGCCCTCAAGGTCCATCCATGTTGTTGCAAATGGCAAGATTTCTTTCATTTTTATGTCTGAGTAATATTCCATTATATAGATGTATCACCTTTACTTTATCCATTCATCTGTCAATGGACACTTAGGCTGTTTCCATTTTAGGCTGTTGTAAATAATGCTGCTATTATTCACAGAACATGGGACGTCTGTATCTTTTTGAGTTAGTATTTTCATTTTTTTTCAGACAAATACAGTTCTTCAGAAGTAGAATTGCTGAATCATATGGTAGTTTTATTTTAAATTTTTTGCGAAACCTGCATTCTGTTTTCCAAAGAGGCTACAACCAGTTCCTTAGTACACCCCAACAACAGTGCATCAGGAGTCCCCTTTCTCTACATCCTCACCAATACGTGCTATTTATTCTTTTTTTTTTTGATAATAGCCATTCTAACATGTAAGGTGATATATTGCATTGTGGTTTTGATTTGCATTATCCTGATTATTAGTGATGTCAAACACATTTTCATGTATTTCTTTACATTTTATTTGGAAAATGTCTATTCAGATTCTCTACCCATTTTTTAAATCAGATTTGTTGTTGAGTTGTATTGGGTTTATTTGTGGGCTGTCTTCTGTTCCATTGATATGTATGCTTGTTTTTATGCCAATACCATACTGTTTTGATTACTGTAGCTCTGGAATATAGTTTAAAATGAGAGAGCAGCTGATGCCTTCAGCTTTGTTTTTGTTTCTAAAGATTTCTTTTGTTATTTGGGTGTTTTTTGTGGTTCCATACAAATTTTAGGATTTGTTCTATTTCCTTGAAAAATGCCATGGGCTTTGATAGTGATTACATTGAATCTGCAGATTGCTTTGGGTAGTATGGACATTTAAATAATACTAAGTATTCCAGTCCATGAGCATAAAATATCTTTTCATTTATTTGCATCTTCACATCAGTGTTTTATAGTTTTTAGTGTTTTATCTTTTACCTCTTTGTTTAAATTGATTCCTAGTCTTTTAATTTTTTGATGCAATTGTAAATGGGATTGTTTTCTTAATTTCTCTTTTTCATAGTTCTTTATCAGTATACAGATACACAACAGATTTCTGTATATTGATTTTGTATTCTGCAACTTTGTTGAATCCATTTATTAGTTCTAACAGGTTTTTTTGTGTGTGAGTTTCTAGGATTTCCTATATATCATACTGTGTCATCTACAAATACAGTAGTGATATTTTTACTTCCTCCTCCCCCAACCCCCCATTGATTTCAGAGAGGAAGGGAGAGGGAAAGAGAGATAGAAACATCAATGATGAAAGAGAATAATTGGTCGGTTGCAGGCCCCAACCAGGGATCAAGCCTGCAACCCAGACATGTGCCCTGATGGGGAATCAAATCGTGACCTCCTGGTTCATAGGTTGACAATCAACCAATGAGCCATGCTGGCCAGGCTTTTCATTTCTTTTTCTTGCCTAATTGCTTTTGCAAGGACTTCCAGTGCTATGTTGAATAAAAGTGATGAGAGAGTGGACATCCTGGTCTAGTTTCTGATCTTAAAGGAAAAGCTTTCAGCTTTTCACCAGTGAGTATGATGTTAACTGTGGGCTATATATATATATATATATATATAGCCCACATATATAGCCTTTATTATTTTGAGCTATGTTCCCTCTATGCCCACTTTGCTGAGAGATTTTTTTATTATATATGGATGTTGGGTTTTGTCAAATGCTTTTTCTGCGTCTATTGAGATGATCATATGATTTTTATTTTTCATTTTGTTAATGTGGTTTATCACATTGATTGATTTGTAGATATTGAACCATACTTGCATCCCTGGAATAAACACTTGGTCATGCTGTATGGTCCTTTTAATGTATTGTTGAATTCCATTTGTTAATATTTTGAGATTTTTTTTTGCATCTCTGTTCATCCAGGGATATTGACTTGTAATTTTCTTATGCTATTCTTGTCTGGAATGACTGGCCAAGCACATGGCCACTTGCCCATCTCATTTAATCCTCATAGCAACCCTGTGAGGTAGATGGTGTTACTTCATTTTGTAGCTGAGGAAACTGAACCTCAGTGAGAGAGAGAAAAACATAGATGTGAGAGAGATACATTGGTTGGTTGCCCCCTGCACGCATCCCAACCAGGACTGGGGATCAAACCTGCAACTCAGTTACATTCCCTTGACTGGGAATCGAACTCGTGACCCTTGGGTGCTTGGGCCAACACTCTAACCACTGGGAAACACTGGCCAGGGCAACAGATTTATTTTATTTAATCCTCACTGCTTTTAAGAGTGGAAGGGCTGGAGGGAGGGAGAGAGAGAGAGAGAGATAGAGAGAGAAACATCAGTGTGGGAGAGACACGTCAATTGGTTGCTTCCTACACGAGCCCTGACCAGGGCTGGGGATCAAACCTGCAACCCAGGTTTGTGCCCTTGACTGAGAATGAACCCATGACCTTTTGGTCTGTAGACCAGCACTCTAACCACTGAGTAAACCTGCCAGGGTGGCAACTGATTTTTTAATTGAATGACTGAATTAAGAAGATGACCTAAATGATATAGTTCATTTCATAAAGCTTAAAATCAGAGAGCCCTTTTTTTAGAATTTAGTCTTCAAGTCCACCATTTTTGGAACATAGTTCAGGCCATCACTGTCATTTCTGGAAATCCTTTTCATTGCAGGAAAGTGGGCTAAATCATTCCTTGCCAAATGAGGTTTCTTAACCCACAATTTGACTAAGAATGAGAGAATCAAATCGTATGTTTGTATAACTACTTATAACACCCTGACATAGAGATATTCTAAGTGTTTATAAATAGGTTGAAAGGGCAGCCAGAAAGATTATGCAGTCCATCTAGTCTTTGCTGCAGGTAGAGGCAGGCCTTTTCCCCCTTCGCTGTGGAACACGTCCATCTGGCACATTTATTCAACAAATATTGTGTGCTTCCTCTGTGCACGAGCACGCTAAGCATAGTAGGGAAAAACAAAGTTGAAAAGGATATTACCCTAATATTTGAGGGGGAAAATTGTTTCAAGTCCAGTAGGAAGAGTTAATTGCACTTCTGATTTTCTCATGTTATATGAATCCTCTAAATTTATTATTAAACTTGGTTTAAAATATATTTTGCTTATTATATATGTTCTTTCCTTTCCTTATTTTGTTATATTGATTTCTGTTTCATTATCTTCCTTTTGATAATTCCCTTCAGTTTGTGTAAAAGTTTAAGATCTCTGAAAGTCTACCCTAAAATTCTTAAGCATAAACACCAGCTTACATGCTATTAATATAAATATATAGATGTGCAACTTAGTATAAACTGTGGCTATTATATAAATGTTGTTTTTCCTGAAATGTCATGTCTTTTTCTCATATTGGATCTAAAATATTTTATTTCTAATAGCATCTGTATCCAGTGTATTGGAAAGCATTTCCATAGAAGTGCTATGTAGTTTTAAAAACATTTCTGAAATGACCGGGTTATACTATAAATATCATTCCTATCACCTCGACTTCTAGATGCCAGAACAAACAGAAGGGGAACTCAGATCTCTTGCTTTTGCTGCAGCTTAGTAACAAATATAACTGTGGATACTGTGGCCTTATTAAATCAACCTAGTTCATTTTTACTCAGGGAATACAATTAAAAATTTCTTCGTTATAAACCCAATATATATTTGCACAATGAAATACATTAGGGAGTCCATAAGTAAGTCAGTTTGCCACAGATATATGATTTTTCAACAAGGGTAAAAGATCAGTCAATAGGGAAAGAATAATTCCTTTTAAAATGCTGGTACAACAGGATATCCACACACAAAAGAATGAATTTGGACTCCTACATCATACTGTGTATAAAAATGAACTCAAATGGCACCCAAATATAACAGCTGAAAGTGTAAAATTCTTAGAAGTTAAACATAGTTGTTAATCTTGGTGACCTTAGATTAGGTAACAGTTTAATATGCCACTAAAAGCACAAGCAACTAAAGAAAAAATATACTTCATGAAAAGTTAAAAACCTGTATGTCAGAGGACACTATCAAGAAAATGGAAAGTCAGCCTACAGAATGTGAGCAAGTGTGTAAATCATACACCTGATCAGGGCTAGTACTCAGAATACGAGAACTCCTACAACTCAACAATAAACCCTACCGGTATTGAAAATGGACAAAGGATTTGAATAAACAGTTCTCCAAAGAAGATACACAAATGCAGGTATGCACATGTAAAGATTCTCCACATGAAAAGATGCTCAATATCACTAATCATTGGTGAAATCAAAACCACTAGATAAAACTTCACCTCCACTAAGATGGCTGTAACAATGCAAATTAAAAAAAGAAGACAGCAACTGTGCTGGTGAGGATGTGAGGACATTGGAGCCTTAATACATTCATGTTGGGACTATAAAATGGTGCAGCTGCTGTGATGAACAATTTGACATTTTCTCAAGTTAACAAAAACTCGTACATGAATGTTCAATGCATTATTATGCATAAAAGCCAGAAAATGGAAGTAACTTAAATGTCCATCAATTAATTAATGGATGAACAAATGTGATATATCCATATAATGGACTATTACTTGGGCATAAAAAGAAATGAAGTACTGATATGTGCCACCCTATGGAACCTTGAAAACATTATACTAAGTGAAAGAAGCCAGACACAAAGGGTCATTTATTGTATGATTCCATTTTTATAAAATGTCCAGAATAGGCAAATCCGTAGAGGTAGAAAAGTAAATTAGTGATTACCAAGGGATGAGGAAAGAGGGTTTCTTTGTTTGGAGTGATGGCAATGTTCTGGAATTAGGTAGTGGTCATGGTGAATATACTAATCACTCAATTATACACCTTCAAGTTGACTTAAATGGTTAACTTTGGGTTATGTGAATTTTATCTCAGTAAAAGTTGTTTTGAATAAAGATTATGTGGTACAGTGAAAACACATTTGCAAATCTACATTTGCAATGAAAATATTGAGTTATACCTAGTGATTTCCATGTCTAAATGTTTTATCATCCTCTTTCTTTTCTTCAGGATGCCAGGAAAGCATGCAATGATACAACACTTGTTCAGGTAAAGTCGTCGTCCCCGCCCCAGCTCCAAGCCCCCAGCCTGTTTACTTTAGTGATTCACATGAAACAGCTTTGCACCAAGGCAAATGACATTCAGATTCTTTTCTGTTAGTATTTAATTGAAAAAATGAGATTTCTAAAAACACTTCGTAATTTGTCAGATGCTGTACAAGTGCTTTTAAAAGCACACTTGTTAAAATAGAAGGCCGTGGAAAATAAATACTATAAAATATATAGATTCTTTGGTTTCTTTTTAGGGAGCTTCTTGATTCTTTTAGATATACTCTGATTAAGCTTTCTTATTAGGTTAATTAACATTAATAATTTTCATTAAGAAATGTTTTATGTGCTTTACAAACATAAAACTGGCTTTCTTACAGGCAGTTAAAATTATAAATGTTTTACTCTTTGATCATCTACCATTAGATTTTTATTTGGGCTGGGTTTTTTTTCCCCTAAAGTTTGGAGGTATGTCTATTCTTTTCAGTTAATAGTCTACAGAACATATTCTTACTAGAAGGGATGCATGTAGCATAATTTTAAATCAGTTATACTTTTTCTTGAACTACATATTGATCCTATAATTACTCTGTGGAATTATTTATATTGAATTACCTTCAGTCGCTCTAAATTGGTTTTATGCCTGATTTCTTTTTTTTTTTAGTTTTTTATTTCAAGAAAAACGATTTTAAATATGAAGTTACATACAATAAACACCAATTCAAGAAAAATTATCTTACATATAATAACATTACATGCAATAAACATTAATATTTCAAGAATAAAAGGATTTTAAGTATAATAAAATTACCAAAACTCTACTAACATAGTATGATATCACAAAAGTTGTAGGAAATATTAAAAATCTGCAAATAACAGGGTTACTTCTATTATATTCTAGTATATTTTTCCCCCTCTGGCTCTATTTTTGTTCATCAGTTTATGTTGTTCATTATATTCCACAAATGAGTGAGATCATATGATATTTAACTTTCTCTGACTGGGTTATTTTGCTTACATGATGCTTTAAAGTCTATTTTGTTGGATGTGAGTATTGCTACTCCAGCTTTTTTTTTCCTTTTCCATTTGCATGGAAAAATTTTTTCCATCCCTTCATTTTCATCCTGTGTGTGTCTTTTGTTTTGAGTTGGGTCTCTTGTAGTCAGCATATAGTTGGGGCATGTTTTTGTATCCATTCAGCTACCCTTCACCTTTTGATTGGAGCATTTAATACACTTACCTTTAGGGTTATTATTGAGAGGTACTTATTTATAGCCATTTTAATTCTGTACGGCTAGGTTTCTCTCTCTGTTTCTTCTTCTCAGCAATCCCTTACAACAATCCGTTTAGCATTTCTTGTAATTCTGGCTTTGGTGGTGATGAACTCCTTTAACCATTTTTTTTTGTCTGAGAAGCTCTTTATTGACCATCCATTTTGAATGATAGCCTTGCTGGATATAGTAATCTTGGTCTCAGATCCTTGCTTTCCATTACCTTGAGTACTTCATGCCATTCCCTTCTGGCCTGTAGAGTTTCTGATGAGAAATCAGGTGTCAGCCTTATGAGAACTCCTTTGTAGGTAACAGTTTACTTTTCTCTTGCTGCCTTTAAGAATCTCTCTTTGTCTTTAATTTTTGGCATTTTAATTATGATGTGTCTGGGCATGGGTCTGTTTGGATTCTTCTTGTTTAGGGTTCTCTGTGCCTCCTGAACTTGTGTGACTTTTTCCTTTACCAGGTTAGGGAAGTTTTCTACCATTATTTCTTCAAACACCTTCTCTATTCCTTTCTCCTTTTCTGCCTCTTCTGGCAGCTATTCTAATATTGTTACATTTCACATTGTCCCACAGCTCCCTTAAGCTGTCCTCCTGTTTTTTAATTGTTTTTTTTCTTTTTGGTTCTCTAATTGAGTGATAGTTTCAACTCTATCTTCAAATTCACTGATTTGATCCTCAGCTTCCCCTAATCTGTTGTGTATTCCTTCCAATGTGTTCTTTATTTGTTATGTCATTCTTTATCTCAGACTCTTCTTTTTTCATAGTTGATTTTATCTTTTTTCATACTGTTGAGCATTCTTAACATCATTACTCTGAACTCTGTTTCAGATAAACTTCTTATCTTTGCTTCATTTATCTCTTCTTCTGGAGAATTCGCTAGTTCTTTGCCGGGAGCCGGTCCATGCATGGGACTCTTAATCCCAGGGTCGTGGGTTCGTGCCCCACGTTGGGCGCCATGGAGAGAACAATATGCCGGGGTCCTGCCCCAGCAGGTCCAGGGGTCCCCAAAGGCGTGGACGGAGTCGGCGAAGAAGGAATGACATGGAGAGGGCGTTCAGATGATCATCATAGCAAGGTTCTCTAGCCACGTTCTGGTCAGGATCTCCAGTGAGGTTCTGGTTAGGATCTCCAGCCAGGATATGTGTCCATGTTCTCTTGCTAGGTTCTCCAGGTCCTCCAGCCAGGTTCTATAGCCATGTTCCCTCGCTAGGTTCTCCAGCCAGGTTCTGTCCAAGTTCTCCAGCCAGGTTCAGTCACCAGGTTCTAGTCAGGTTCTCTTGCCAATTTCTGTAGTCAGGTTCAGTCCAGGATCTTTTGCCATGTTCTCTCCAGCGAAGTTCTTCTGTCTGTAGGTTCTGTGTAGGTTCTGTGCCTAGGTTCTGTCTCTCTTGGTTCTGTTCTCTTAGTTCTGTGTTCTAAGTTCTGTATTCTAAGTTCTGTGTTCTAAGTTCTGTCTCTTGCTGTCTAGTTACAACTGTATTTATACCAGTTGATTCAATCCTATCAATCTCTATTACAAAGGTTAGGGCGTTTCTTATCTCCATTCCAGGGAGTAAAGATTATGTAGCTTAAGCATGATTGTTCATAGTTAAAGTGATTAATTACCCACCTGGCACTTAGTTAAGAGGTTTTATTCCCTCCCTAACTTCAGGGGAAAATCCCTACCTGGGGAAACAACCTTTCTCAGAGACCTTGGTTAAAACACATAGTGCCAAGAAGGTGAGCAAACATATTAAGAACAGTATGCCATATATGCCAGGTCCCTTGAAACAGCAAGCATGGACCGGCTCCCGGCAAATTCCCCCTTTTTTATTTTTTAAAAACAGGCATTAAAAAGAAAAACCTGAAATGCTCTCTTGTATCCATTTTAAGAGTAGGATTGGCGCTTTCCGCTATTACCTGAGTCCTGATCTATCACCCCAGGGAGAGCTTGCAAATCCTGCACTTTCCTGGGGTGGAAAGGCTGCAGTGGGGTTAAGGATAAGGCTCCTTGGGCCTACCTCCTCCCATGCCTTTACATTTACCTTTCCTTCCTCAGAAAAGCATGGACATATTTCTTGTATAAAACGTTCTGTCTGACTGGGAGTAACCTTAATTCCTCTGCTAGCAAGCATATATGTTAAAAGATCAATACCGAGTCTTTTTTCTTTAGACTCAGTATGGCACATCTTCTTAATCTAAAGATCAATACAGAGTCTTCTTTCTTTGGACTCAGTATGGCACATCTTCTCAATCTAAGAATCAATACAGAGTCTTCTTTCTTTGGACTCAGTATGGCACATCTTCTCAATCTAAGTTCTGTACTATCCACCTTCTTACCCTACTTATCCTCTATAGGGGGGTCTGCAGTACCCTGGTGGAGTCCTATCCGTCCCGAGTGTGGGGGTTCTCAATGGGGGGGGGGGCTTACCTAGGGGAATCCTGTTCCAAGGCTTCCCAAAGGTGTGGACGGAGTCGGCGAAGACTATCCACCCTCTTCCTACGGTGGAGTCCTATCCGTCCCGAGAGTGGGGCAAAGACTATCCACCCTCTTTCTACGGTGGAGTCTTATCCGTCCCGAGTGCGGGGCGCTTACCTAAAAGGTCCCTGTTCGGGCGCCAGATGCCGGGGTCCAACCCCAGCGGGTCCAGGGGTCCCCAAAGGTGTGGACGGAGTCGGCGAAGAAGGAAGGACACAGAGATAGCGTTCAGTTGATCAGCAGCCTAGCCAGGATCTCCAGCCAAGTTCTGGTCTGGATCTCCAGCGAAGTTCTGCTTAGGATCTCCAGCCAGGTTCTGTGTCCATGTTGTCTCGCTAGGTTCTCCAGCCAGGTTCTGTCCAGGTTCTCCAGCCAGGTTCAGTCACCAGGTTCTAGTCAGGTTCTCTTGCCAATATCTGTAGTCAGGTTCAGTCCAGGATCTTTTGCCATGTTCTCTCCAGCGAAGTTCTTCTGTCTCTAGTTCTGTCTCTTGCTGTCTTATTGCATCTGTATTTATACCAGTTGATTCAATCCTATCAATCTCTATTACAAAGGTTAGGGCGTTTCTTATCTTCATTCCAGGGAGTAAAGATTATGTAGCTTAAGCATGATTGTTCCTAGTTAAAGTGATTAATTACCCACCTGGCACTAGTTAAGAGGTTTTATTCCCACCTTAACTTCAGGGGAAAATCCCTACCTGGGGAAACAACCTTTCTCAGAAGGAGACCTTGGTTAAAACACATAGTGCCAAGAAGGTGAGCAAACATATTAAGAACAGTATGCCATATGTGCCAGGTCCCTTGAAACAGCAAGCATGGACCGGCTCCCGGCAGTTCTTTCATTTGGGGGTTTTTTCTTTGTTCCCTCATTTTGGTTGTCTGTTTGGGTTTGTGACTATGTTTAGGTAGATCCTCTCACCTCTCAATCTCTAGTGCAGGACAGTGAAAAGGCTGTTTCTGACTAATTGGATCAGGCAAAGACTCAAAGCCTCCAGAGACCGCCACTGCCTACAGAAGTGGTTCTCAACCTTCCTAATGCCACGACCCTTTAATACAGTTCCTTATGTTGTGGTGACCCCCAACCATAAAATTATTTTCATTGTTACTTCATAACTGTAATTTTGCTACTGTTATGAATCGTAATGTAAATATCTGATATGCAGATGTATTTTCATTGTTACAAATTGAACATAATTAAAGCATAGTGATTAATCACAAAAACAATATGTAATTATATATGTGTTTTCCGATGGTCTTAGGCAACCCCTGTGAAAGGGTCATTCGACCCCAAAAGGGGTTGTGACCCATAGGTTGAGAACCGCTGGCCTACAGACTAATAGGATTCTGACGTGAGTAGCCTCCAGGCAGTCATTCTCAGGTGTGGTGAAAGTTTTTTCAACAGGGTGGGGTAGTTTCTTCTGCCTGGAGGTTGTTACTTTTGATCTCGTAAGTGGCCTCAGGGCAAGATGTTTTCCAATTGGGTGTGTCGACTGTCTTCCCCCCAGGCAAGGCAGATGTCTAAGTGGGAAAGATGTCCCCCGCTGTATGAGGGAATGACTCAGCCCAGGAATCTTGGGGTGTCTGCCTTCTTAGCTCTATCCCCGAGTCCCCAGTCCTGCTCTCACAGCTCCAGTCTGCTTCACCCTCCCTCTGCTGGAGCACAAGGTGCGTGGCTTCAGAGGGAATTTAGTGTGTTGGCCCTTTAAGGGGGTGCCCGAACTTTCAGCTGCCACTCCCTGGCAGATAGCACCCCACTGCTTTTCACAGCTAGATGTTATGTGGGTACCTTCCTCAGTTTGGTGCTCTCTGCTGGGGAGCCCAGCTTCAGGATTAGATCCCAGAGTTCTCAGTGGCACCCCCCCCCACCCCCACCCCCGCACAGCTGAGCTCTCTCTCTGGGGCTTCAGTTGCCTGTCTGTGGGTGCCTGGCCAGCCCTTTCGTGCCTCCGCCCCTCCTACCAGTCTCTGTGTGGTCTCCACCTTCGGTCCTTGGGTATCTGGGTTCTCTCTTGTGAGTTTTCCATTGATTATTCAGAAAGTCTTTCCGTATTTCAGTTGTAATTCAGCTTGTTCCTGGGAGCATGTCTGTTCAGCATCCTCCTACTCCGCTGCTATTTTTTATCCCTTCTTACACCCGATTTCTTGCCTATTAATTGTTCTTACTTTGTTTTCTGAGCTATGTCTAAGGTAAAGAATAACATTTATGTTGCTTTCTAAAGATCACATCAAATATGGATTCCGTGGGTCGGATACAAATGCGAACAAGACGTACGCTGAGGGGGCACCTCGCTAAAATCTATGCCATGCATTGGGGCTATGACTCAAGGTTTGTACCTGCTATCTCCAAACTACCTGCAGAATTATAGTCATTAAGAATCTCCATTCGCATTTCCTTTAAAATAAATAATTTTATAGTTAGTAAACAAACTGTATTTATGAAATGTTTGCAGAAAATGCATCCAATATGAGACTTTGCTTTCATTAAAAATAATCAGTGACACTTTAAAAGTTTAGAAACCTTTACTATGGAAATAAATTTATCTCTCAAAAATATCCATTATTAAATTATCTAGGTAAACTGTTTAGGGTTTCTTTTCTTTGCATGGGGTGTTAATACTGTTGTTTACTATGCCAAAAGCAGTTCTGTTGTATGTTAACCTTGCAATTTCAGTTAACATAAAATATTGTTGAATATAGCTATGTACAAGTTCCTGGATATTGCTGTAATTATTACCTAAATTCACAAAGGATGGAAGTACATATGTATTGTTAGCTCTACAAATTGCATTTTTCAAGATGCATTCTCTTTTGTGAGACTACTTGGTTAATTCAAATAGCAGTTATTTTTCCATCTTTTGCTTTGGTTTGGCATTTATTTTCTGCTACTCCTCTGTTAGTTTTCACTTACTTGATTTCTTGTATGTGTAAATATCTTATCTACCAGGTAGTGGAGCCCTCAAAGGTAGGAAGTATTTTCTGAGTGTACCCATAACACTACCTTCACATCTCAATTGATACTTTTTGATTGAATGAAATACGGTTTTTAGGCTTACATCTACTCCATTGTCATTAAATTTATATCACTAAACACAAGCCAGTCAGCTAATACTTACCAGAATCTTGAATAAGAATCCAGAATGCTGTCACCATGAAAAAGTTGAATCATAACCTGACATTTTTAGTAAAATGTCTAAATTTTGCTAAATTTTTATGTTATGATGAAAATTTTGGCATGCAGAATACATTTCTTTTAAAGTTGGAGGGCTGTTTTCTGGTATCAAGTTTTTAATTCAAGAAATTATATATATATTTTTTCTGAACTGTTCTACATTAATTCCATGCATAAATAATCTAAACTACTTTTTTCCTCTAAGTGTCAAATTATTTTTGTTTGTTCCTCTAGGCTACTAGTCAGTGCTTCCCAGGATGGAAAATTAATTATTTGGGATAGCTATACAACAAATAAGGTAGAATTTCTTAATCATTCTCTTAAGTAACCTATTATTTGATTTGATGTTCATCAGTTCTTTCCTTTATTCTGTAATTTTCTTCTAAGATAAATTTATTCTATTTATTTTAATCTAGATCCTCTCTTGAAGCTTAGGCTTTATTTTAATATTTAGCCCCATTTTCATGCCCAAGGACAACTGCAGGAATATTTTTCAATGTGTTTTACTAGACTTTCATATTTGAATATTAGAGAAGAGTGTGCATCAGTTTTACATAGAAATAATTTGCTAAACAAATTCCAATTCCCCAGTGTGACCATGACTCTGAGATTTTTATTTCTAGCTGTGGGTGAGGAGGCTTTTCGTTGGTCCACTCTAGGCATTGATGTGTGTGTGGGCTGCTCAGAAGAGACAGCGGACAACTTGCTTAGAGCTCTTGCTGGGGAAGCCAGCAGGTCCCCCTCACGTGTCCACTGGAAGGAATGCCTGACACACAGGTGCTGAGTGGTAGTGGAAAAGCTTCAGGAGAACTTTCAGAGGTCAAATTCCTTTAGGTTCTGTGTACTCTTTTATTAAAGTTTAAAAAGTATTGTTTTGTGAAGTAAACAGTATCTTCAGCCTGTTGAGAATTTAAAAGTAGCCAAGATAGATTTGCATTATAACAGTTCTTCTACTTTAACTGGTATTAAGCATGGGTCTTTCAATGATATTTTCCTAAAACAAAAAAATGTGTATTGAAAATACTGTTTTAAGTTAAGTGAGAGCACAGTAGTCACACACAGTGTATTGATTCTCTGTATGGACCACTTAGCCTTAGAAGTCCCATATACCTTAAATTTTACTGCCTGACCTGCAAATGATTGGTGTTGGGTAAGAAGGCCCCAGATAGTGGTAGGAGTAGGTAGTGGAAACTCTTCCTGTTGTTTAAATTCGAGCCTATGATTAGAGGAACCATCTCTTCATGGGAGAACCATATTTAATAGACTCTGATACTTATATTGGAGGAAATTCCTCTTTTGCACAGGACTGCAAAAACAAAGAATTTTATTACATTTTTTACCTTTAACATTTTACATTTAATATTTTAAGTAGTTATATTGCATTGAAATATCCTTGTTCTTGCTTCTCTTAAAAGAATAATTTCTGAAAAGAGCAGTTAAATTGAATTATTTATAATTCAGAAATAGGTATTTTAGTGTGCATTAGTATTTTATTTTTCAGTGTTCTCTTTCCCAAGCCATTGCATTCTTTATTTTACCTTAATTTTTAGATGCATTTAATTTTTCATAATATTTGCTTCTTTGTAAATAGGTAGGAAGATGAATGACTGTCATTCCTTAGTGATGGATTTTGTGCATTTCATTTGTTCTGCAGATGCATGCCATTCCTTTGAGGTCCTCCTGGGTGATGACCTGTGCTTACGCCCCTTCTGGTAATTATGTGGCTTGTGGAGGACTGGACAACATCTGCTCTATATACAACTTAAAGACCAGAGAGGGAAATGTGAGAGTGAGCCGAGAGTTACCGGGTCACATAGGTGAGCTCCACTGAATATTGTCCTGTTTTTCTTAAAAAGGTATTATTTTTGTAAGGGTGATACATTTATTGCAAAATATTTACACAATAATGAAAATACAAAAATAAAGCAAATATTTTTTGTATTCTCTGCAACCATATAACATCACAGGGTTTTGGCATATATACTTGATTATGTAATTGAAAGTATATATTAAGACTAAAGCCCCGAATTCGTGCACCAGTGGGATCCCACAGCCTGGCCTGTGGGATTGGGCCAAAACTGGCTCTCCGACATACCCCGAGGGGTCCCGGATTGCGAGAGGGCACAGGCCAGGCCAGGCCAAGGGACCCCACCGATGCATGAATGGGACAGGGAGGGATGCAGGAGGTTGGCCAGCCCGAGAGGGACTGCGTGAGGGCTCCAGGGCATGTCCAGCCTGCCTCCCTCAGTCCCGATCGGTTGGACCTCAGCAGTAAGCTATCCTATTGGTTGGAGCATCTGCCCCCTGGTGGTCAGTGCATGTCATAGCGAGCTGTTGAGCTGCCTTAGTATATCTTTAGCATATTACGCTTTGATTGGTTGAACAGCCGACTGGACACTTAGCATATTAGGTTTTTATTATATAACATTTATAAAGTGTTTTTCACTGTGATAGCACATTGCTTTATTCTCCAGAGTGCACACGAAACCATAATTCAGTGGTAGCGCATTTGGTTAGCAGTGTTTATTATGATTTTTGGCCACTCATCGGGTTTCTGCCTCTCTGAATTCCTTGCAATACTATTTGACCATGCTTGTTACAAAATCTCTACAATGGCATTTCCCTGCCATTTTCATGTTTTGAAATACTGGTGAATTCTGAACATTCAAATGCTACCTTTTTCATGAAGCCTTCGCTGGAGTGGTGGTTCTAATTTCTCACAATACTTTTAATCTTTCTCCAAGGTACTTAATCCCCATCTGCCATAGATTATAGACATTCGAGAGGAGTATGTCTCTCAGGTAATTGTAGTAGGTGGGAGGGACTTCGTATTACTCAGGTTGTAACTTTTAGAGAGTGTCCAACATGATGTCATTGACATAGTAAATACCTAAAAGAGTTGGTTGATAAAATTTAGTTTCAGATAGCATAGAGTTTGAAGTAATTAAAATTTGAACTGTAGAATGTACTAAAAAACACTGTTGCCCAGGTATTAAATACTTAACAATACATATAAGTATTTGTCCTAGGCTGGGTAGCTCAGTTGGTTAGAGTATTGTCCTGATACACCAAGGTTGCAGGTTTGATACCAGTCAAGGCACATGCAGGGAGCAACCAATGAATGCATAAGTAAGTGGAACAACAAATAGATGTTCCTCTCTCTCTGTGTATGTATATTAGTATTTCATATGCTTATGGGGTTATTTGATCAATGATAACCTAAAATATGTTACTCTCTATGCTATAGGCTACTTGTCCTGCTGCCGTTTTTTAGATGACAGCCAAATTGTTACAAGTTCAGGAGATACAAATTGGTAAGTTTATTTCAGAAGAACACTGATTTGGGTGTTGAGGGTGATAGTAGGAACTAATATAAGAAGATATAATGGTCATTATTTTTTTCATTTTTAATTGCAGTGCGCTATGGGACATTGAAACTGCCCAGCAGACCACCACATTCACTGGGCATTCTGGAGATGTGATGAGTCTTTCTCTGAGTCCTGACATGAGGACTTTTGTTTCTGGTGCTTGTGATGCCTCTTCCAAGTTATGGGATATTCGAGATGGAATGTGTAGACAGTCTTTCTCTGGACATGTGTCAGATATTAATGCTGTCAGTGTAAGTGAATAGCATTTCTAAGGGACATTTATTGTGCATTTGAAGTACGAACTCTGTAGCATGGTTTTCATAACACATTGCCTTCAAGGATTCTTACAATTTATAAATTCTTATAAATAATGGGCTCTTATGACATTGAATTCCCAAATAGTAGGGGTTTGATTTAAATAAGAAAAATAAACCCAGCCCTGGCCAGTATGGCTCAGTTGGTTGGGTGCATCTTGTGTACCAAGAGGTTGTGGGTTTGATTCCTAGTCAGGGCATATACCCAGGTTGTGGGCTCCATCCCAGGTAGGAAGTGTGCAGGAGGCAGCTGACCGATGTTCTGCTCTCACATCGATGTTTTGCTCCCTATCCTTCCTTTCTCTAAAAATCAGTAAAAACACATCCTCAAGTGAGGATTAAAAAAATAAAAGAGTACACATATATAAATTCTGTAAATAGTAACATTTATATTTAAATATTTTAATAAGACATATGGAGGACCAGAGCTAATATTTACTGAATTACTTGCTATGTGTTAAATAATAGGCGGTGTACTTGGCATATGTTATTTCATTCAATTTTAACCCACATTCTAAAACTGAAACTAAGGCCCAAAGTGTTGAAGAATCTTTAGTGCCCAACAGCACTCACCGGTAAGAAGCCAGGTTGGAATTTGAATCTAGGTCTGTTTTCCCCCAGAGCCTGTTTATTATACTGTCTCACATGGTTTTTGTACATGTCCATGGAATATGTTTATTGCTTTTCTTTCTAGTTTTTTCCAAATGGCTATGCCTTTGCCACCGGCTCCGATGATGCCACTTGCCGTCTCTTTGACCTTCGTGCAGACCAAGAGTTATTATTGTATTCTCATGATAATATTATCTGTGGGATCACCTCCGTAGCCTTCTCAAAAAGTGGGCGTCTCCTGTTAGCTGGTTATGACGACTTCAATTGTAACGTGTGGGACACACTAAAAGGAGATCGTGCAGGTTAGTACCTACGTCCACATTACGTTTGGGTTTTGTCAGGGAACATGAAAGGTTCCTGACTGTTGTTGGAGGCTCTTGGATAACCTGGATCTAGGGAATGGCAGCCCAGCTCTTCTTATTCATGGTCATTGTGGCCATGTTCTCTGAGATGGATTTTCCACTTTTCTCCCTGGAATGGATAAACTGGCTGCCAGTTTAGGGGTGATTTCAGGAGGCAAGCTGGGTGGTAAAACAATTAGCAAGTCAACTTTCTTTATTCCCCATTTTCAGCAGTTTCACCAATCTCACCTGGGCCTGTTTTCTTCGTTAAGAGACTCTTCTTTACTCTCTAGCAAATAAGTCTCTATAGCAGCGGTTCTCAACCTGTGGATCATGACCCCTTTGGCGGTCGAACGACCCTTTCACAGGGGTCGCCTAAGACCATCCTGCATATCAGATATTTACATCACGATTCATAACAGTAGCAACATTACAGTTATGAAGTAGCAACGAAAATAATTTTATGGTTGGGTCACAACATGAAGAACTGTATTTAAAGGGCCAGAAGGTTGAGAACCACTGCTCTAAAGCCTCATGTCTTGGTGCACGTTGGAGTCACCTGGCTCTGCAGTGCAGGACACCTGGGAAGCCCGATTCCTGAACACTTTCTAGCATCTTAGTTTACCCCATCTTTGCCGCCACCTGGTTCTGGAGATGCCGGGGCTCACTAGGACCTGACCCTTTGGGAGGTTCTGCAGTGTAATTTTGTTTCTTGGCTTACCAGACCATCTGCTATGAACTGAGCATTTTAAGGTCCACTAAGATAGTCCCCACCATCCAGCTTTGTAGCCATTGCCTGCTTTCATTCTCTTATTGTCTTTGTGGGTTTTTGTCCTTACCCTTTTAAATTCCTAAACAGTTCTTGAGGTTTCTGAGGGAGTAAAAGTACAACATGAACATTCCCAGGGATAATTTTCTACAACCTCTTAAGACATTGTAGGAAAGTTCACAGTTTGCATTTTGGAGCTTTCTGTTGCCCAAAGCCAATTACTTTTTGGAAGTATTAGGTGTTTTGCCTGGGTTGAATCAATTAGCACCCATAACAAAACAAAAATGTGTGTTTCCTACATTTTTAAACATATGCTTGAATTTAAAACTTGCCGTTGCTATTTACTGGACTTTGTTTTTCAGGTGTTCTTGCTGGTCATGACAACCGGGTCAGCTGTCTGGGTGTAACTGATGATGGCATGGCAGTGGCAACAGGCTCTTGGGACAGTTTTCTTAGAATCTGGAATTAACAGTGCATACAATATTTCTGTTCTCTGTTGGTATCTGGAGAAATCAGTGCTACAGCCTATAGCTGTGATAAAAAAATTCTAATATTTGCTGTTGAAAATTTTTCTATTGAGGTTACTACATACAAAAGGAAGCTTTCAGTAAACTACAAAACAGAAAAGGATAAAAAAAAACAAGGCAAAGGTGCTTGCTGAGATCAAAAGGACCAGTGCATTGAGCTCATTTAACCTTGAAGTTTTACTTTCACTAATTGTTTTCTTTGTGTAGAACAAAATGTACACATTATAGCAACCTATCATGTTTGATTGCTTTCATTTATGAACTTCATGTTAAACTTGTATACACCAGAAATGTCACATTTTTTATTTCTGTAATGGAGGCAACAGGCACAGTAATAGATAGAGGTAATACCATGTGTTTAGGTTTGAAGAGTCTCCTTGAATTCTGACCTCCCTTTTTGATCTAAAAGATCCTGGTTGCTTACTGTATTAAGAATGCTGACAGGGAGGTGCCTGAGGAGAGCCCTTTTGAGTATCATTAGTTTCTTGGTGCATCCTTTGCCTTCCTATCAATTTAAATAAGTGCTCATTTTCAGTCCTTCGAGGGGAAGATGATCTGAAGGGTAGGGGATAGAGATTTCACTCTGAAACTTTAGACATATGTAAGAAACTTTATTAATAGGAAGACAGCAATAATCTCATATAAATGATTCTTGGCATTTTAAAAAGCAGATTATGATCAAATAACACTCCGCACGAGTAATCCTCTAAATAGTTGGTTTCATATTCTAGAATTGAGTTTGTATACTCATTATTCCAGGACATGGATGAACACTTGGATTGTCCTTGCACCTGAAGAACTTTTCCTAGTGTTCTATCAGTATGCATCTAGATCTAAGGAAATAGGACAGCATTGTTTTGAAAAGTGTAAAATCTAACCAGTCACTAGATCTGAGTAGTTATAGTTGTGACAGGGTGGCTTCATGAATTTATGTTCACACATATGAAATCTGAATTGATGTAAACTGTCAAATTTTAAAAAGGGAACATTAAAGCTCTGCTCTTCTGTAATATTTTCCTTCACACAAAATATTGGTTTCTATGTGGCGTGGCTCTGCTTTGAAGAATGGCTAGATCCAAGTGGCTCCATTTTAAAGCCAAAAGGAAAATTCCAAGAGTAAGTACTTAAAGGAGAGGAAAATACTAAGCAATTCATTCCTCTGCTTGTCAATGGTATAATAAAATGTTGTCTGTTACTAGAATGAGCCCTCCTGGATTTAAACAAAGATACTCTCCCCCTTGGATTTTCTCCTACAAATAAATCTAAATGACTGACATGGGATGATTGTTAGTCTTGCTTGATGGTGAAGTCATCGGTTATCCTGATACATTATAAGAAGTGTACTGTTTTGTTAAATCAATAAACTATCACTGTTGAGATAGGTCTCTGTTAACTTTTGATCACCTGGAATCCTAGATATTCCCATTTTTTAGGTCAGTTCTCATTTTTATATTGTGAATGTGCTAGTAAGTGCACCAACTATATTGAAGTCAGTTTTAACATCAGTTGATATTAAAAAGAGAATAAAATGAATAAAGGAAGATTAAGATATGGGGCCAAGAAAACATACTTGTAGATGGCAGGCATAAATGTATATTCATTTATACATGGATTTCTATGAACTTTTTGCTATTACTACTTGTGGACTATATCACTTCATAAAGAGCAGCTCTTTGAGATTAGGCAAGAGTATTTTAAAGCAATATATTCATTTCCAAAAGGGGGTGAGGGTTTGCCATGTAATTCAGCAATTCATTCCAAAATCTTCAGCACTTCTGCCATGTGCAAAATAGCCTTGTGTAGAGAGGGTATCCCCTCTAAAAGTTATTCTAGGAACTTTAGTGAGAGGCACACTAACTATAGTTCTATGGTTTTAAACATCTGGATAAAAATGATTTATTTTACTGTCAGTTTATGTGGATAGTTGAAAATCAATTCCCATAATTAAATATGTACCAGGTAACTGAAACCTACTAAGATTGTGGCTAATTACACATGACCAAATGGTTACCTCCTTACCACATTAACTTACTAAGCTTTTGCTTTCTAGTAATATGGATTCCAGTTGCTAAATATATTTACTTGAAGTTCAAGTTCAGCTGATTGTTTAATTCTGTTTTCATGAGACTTCCTGAAGTAAAAAAAAGACAATATAGAATTTGTAGAAACACTGTAGTTTGAATCTTAGTTTTTGAATACTTAAAAAAGGCCAAATGTAGTTTTAAAGAATTTGTATTATCAAGAATATGGCTGGTTTGGCTCAGGGGTTGGAGCGTTGGCCCACCAACCAAAGGGTCACAGGTTCGATTCCTGGACTAGGGCACATACCTTGGCTGCAGGTTGGTCTCGGCCCCTGTTGGGGCATGTGCAGGAGGCAACCAATCGATATCTCTCTCACATTGATATTTCTCTCTCCCACACCCCTCTCTCTAAAAAAATCAATGGGAAAAATATAATCAGGTGAGGATTAAAAAACAAAAAAGTATATTGGAGTTAACTAAGCCCTATTTTTCTTTTTACCTTGTAAGAAACAGGTTTTATTTGTAGACTCTCTAATCACCCCATAAAGTTGTTTTTAGAGATCTAACAAGAACTTTTTAAAAATAGTATTTTAAAGGCATACATTCTTTTCTAAAATAGTGACCTGCCATGTGATTAAATCACCCAAAAACCTGCTCAAGAAAGGACTTCTTGCTACCATGAGCTAGGTCCCTCCCTAGCTCATATTTCTATACCTATGACTCCAAGGTTACACATACCATACTGAGTTCCATCTTCATAGAGGCAAAGATTTGGTCTTAATATTTCAACTATAAGATAATAGCAAGCAGTTCTTTTTAATTTAGATTCAGCTGAACTGATGAATACTATGTGACGAAAGTGTAGTCTGCTAGACATAATGGATTATAGGTGCTTCTGGAGTATGGGGTAAGCAATTTAAAAGTTAACCTTGATGGATCTTGACTTATCCAGGTGAGAAAGTGAAATTTTATTACTGTTAAAAAAGATACTGTGAAGTATTATATAATTGACTTTTTCCTGGCATTTTTGAGGTCTTAGATTTAATAATACCGACTGACCATTTTAAAAGCAAAAACCTTCAGGGAAGCTTATGCTTTGAACACTGTGAATGTACCACATTATAAAACTTTAACAAGCCCCGCCAGTGTGGCTCAGTGATTGAACATTGACCTATGAACCAGGAGGTCACAGTTCGATTCCTGGTAAGGCACATGGCTGGACTGTGGGCTTAATCCCCAGTAGGAGGTGTGCAGGATGCAGCTGATACATGATTCTCTCATCATTGATGTTTCTATCTCCCTCTCTACTCTCAAATCAATAAAATATATTTTTTAAAAATAACAAAATTGAATACTTGTGACTTATTTGTTGATGTATATAATAGTAAATGTATACAAACTGATTAAACAACCTCCCAAAAGCTTATTTTAATAATTTCCTTTCTATGATTTTTATTTTTTATTTTTCTAGAGTCTTTAGGGTGTGAGTCAGGCTTAAAGAAATTTTTTTAAATTAATTACTATGTTCAGCTGCTAGTTCCCTTTTCGCCATTGTGGAAAGCAAAATTTTAAACTTTCTCCCATCCTGTTAGAATTTTTAAGACCCACAAGCTAAACTGTCTTTCTTGTGAGGAAAGGTAGCACAATGATAAAATTGGCATTTTAAATTTGATTAAGTAGAATGTAAAGTACTTTATACTTACTAGTTCTTCCCTCGTTCAATTTTAGTTGGCTTAAATTTAGTGTTTTTAAAAATATTGGTTACCATAGGTACTCATGAAAATGGTTTGTATTTGAATGTCTTAGCACTGTTTTAAAGAGTAAAGGTACAACTTGTATTTAGCTAATTTGTTTGCATGTTGATAAAATTTCCTCTTTTTTCTCTTAATCCAATTACCCTATAAAAGACAGTGCAGCATTATGAAAAAAACTGGTTGTGTTCTAACTGGTGTTCAATGTGCCCGACAAAAAAAATCATACAATATTTATTTCTTAGTTAATAGAACCTTGGAGATATACTTGGTACTTCCAGCCTTTGATGTGTCACACAATGGTGCTCTATCCTTTTGTTTTCTTTGCAAAGAAGCATTTGCATATTCTTATTCAAAGGCATTCACATTTAAGTGGGTTTTTAAACGTTAGATTAAAATGTTTTTCTTCACTTAGAATGGTTTTGACACACTTGTGGCCAATTGACTTGGGATGTCAGTAGTATAGCTATGGGAGAGGTGAATGTACTAGATTAAAGCTCTTGTACAAGCTTTAAATCAAACGAAAGATGGATTTGTTCCACGATTTAACTGTATTCTTGGATCTTTCTTGCACAGTCATTCCTGTATTTGTACAGTAGCTCTGTGAAATAATGTTGGCTGTGAAATGATATTGTAATCAATAAAGTACTTTAACCAGATTTCATGTGGTATATTTTAAGTCAAATTTAGATTTCAATATTAAGTCCCAGACCTAAACTACAAGCCCAATATGTCCTTTATCTAAATACTAGAGGCCCGATGCATGAAACTCGCGCAAGAGTAGGCCTGCCTTCCCCTGGCAGCCGGCACGGGTTTCCCTCTGGCACCCGGGACCGGGCTTCCCTTGCAGCCCTGGCTTCGTCCGGAAGGTCTTCTGAATGGCTGTCCAGTCTAATTAGCATATTATGCTTTTATTATTATAGATTTGTAATGAGCTTCCAGAGCAAGAGATCGTAGTGCCCCTTTAGTACTATGTTAGCTTACCCTTAAAAGGACCACAAATTGTCATTAAAAAGCAAAATTAAGTCATCCTTTCCCTTGAACTCCCTTTGGAGAAATAATTCCATTGCTTATAGGATTTTAAGTTTTTAAAAAAACATTCTTATTGATTTCAGAAAGGAAGGGAAAGGGAGACACAGAAACATTAATGATGAAAGAGAATCATTGATAGGCTGCCTCCTGCATGCCCCCTACTGGGGATGGAGTGGACAAACTGGACATGTGTCCTTGACGAACTGAACCCATAGTGAAGTGCCATCCACTGAACCAAACTTGTCAGGGCTAGAATTATAAGTTTTTATTTTCATAACCACAGCCTTGGGGGAGGATTAATGAGGAAACTTCCAATATACGACCAGGCATGCTAAATGAGTAAATCCAATCAAAAGATGAACCAGTCTGCCCAAGACAGTTTATATACTTACCATAAAATTAGGAGCAAGACTCACTAAAATGCCAGTATAAATGCTACATTTATCAACTATCAGACAAGTTTTATTCTCACCTTGCAAGTTTGCATACTTATTTTAAAAATGTAGTTTTGTAAAAAGTTTGAGGTTATACAAAGTTTATAAATTAATCTGCAAACACATAGTGAACAAGCACTCTGAATTACATCAGGTGTAACTTACATGATTTCTGTAGAATTCACGGGCTGGGTCATAGGTGCACTTACCTCTAGGCATAAAGGTTGGGTCTCATTATTTTAGTGTCCATTTCCAATATTCATATAGATTTTCAAACTTGATCAGGTGGAATGCATTCAAACTGGTGATGGAAAACTTACTACAAACTTATATACCAGAATCACAATTCCTGGACTTCCCAAATATTAGCATGCATCAGGATGACCTGAAAGGCTTCTTACGAGAGTGCTGGCCCCCAGAGCTAGTGTTCGATTCTTGGGTCTGGGGTAGGACCAAACTTTGAGAGCCATAGTAGTATACTAATGAGGCGATACCAAACCACTATGCTGTTTCAAAATTTCAAGTACTTTGTATAAATTTAAGAACTAGAGCTTGTAACTTTAGACATCAAGTTTTCATGCTGCAGGTGCTACCTGATCCACACTTATTGGTGGCCTGTACCAATTTTGGTTATAAAGCAACAACAAAAACTATAAATTTTTATTGCAAATTTGGCATCCTAGTATCTGATTGGCATAAAAATATATTTTTTAAGGGCTTGTGGCCTACATAATATTCTCTTTAAAATAGCCTGAAAAATAGTGTTGTTGCACCAGCTGTGAAAAGACAGAACGGCATCCAGGAGCCTTAAAGGCACAGAAAAGGAAGCACTGAGTATTAAAAGAAGAAAGGAGCCTGAAATGTTATCCCTCTGGAAAAGCAGCACTGTGTCCTCCTTGCTGTCTCACAAGCACCTAGGGGGATTGAAGATGATTTGGTGGTCCTCAAGGCTCCCTTTGGCATAACAAAGCCCTAGAATGTCATTTTTTAAACGTTTCCATGTAAGTTTCAATTAGTTTTTAACACAAACACACACAATACTTGAATCCATAAACATTTCATTAAACTAAAAAATACAGTGATAATTTTTAACCATGCCCTGGCAAATTCATACAATTAAATAAAAGTAAAGCCACCAC